ACAGTGAGAAGGTGCTGTCTGTGAACCAGGAAGTGGGTCCTAACCAGACACTGAATATGTTGGTGCCAAGATCTTGGACTTCCAAGCCCCCAAAACATGAGAAATAAAGTGTTTTTTTAAGCCATCCAGTTTATAATACTTTTGTTATAGCAGCCTGAACTGACTAACACACAGGCATATGCCTGCATTTGCATAAAACACTTCTAAAGGAAAATCTAAGGAATCAGAGACCAAGAACTGGGGTTCTGGGTGTTAGGACATTTTAGTTTTCATTGTAGGGCCTTTTCTAATGTGTGTCTTTTTAACCACAAAACTGAATTACTATAGTAGTAGTAGTAGCACTACTACTACTACCAGTAGTAGTAGTAGCAGCAGCAGTAGCAAAAATAATAATAATAGCTAATTAACAAAAAGGAATGCATTGAGACGTTTTCCCCATACCTTAGCTATGTAACTGACTTGCAAAAGAGAGCCAATATGTAAATGGTTAAGAACAGGGAGTCATCACCAACCAGTGTCTTATCTTCTTTTAGGCATTAATGAAGTCTGGAGATGTGGTGCTCCAGTGAAAGTAGTTGAGGATTAAGAAGTTGGTTCCTTAAACAGCTCTTCTCTCTGTCAATAGAGCCCAGAGCTTGGGGAATGAGCTCTGAGACCTACATTATTTCTCCTATCAGATCTCAGAGCAGGTGGGAGACTTTTAAACAGACGGTAGAGGTGTTAAAAATAGAAGGTAAGTTGCTATTGGAGATATGCGGAGAACTCACCACTTGCAAATCTCTAATTATAATATGTCAAAAGTAAAATACCTTGTCAGGAGCAGTATCTAATATAATACAGTATTGGCTCTGTCAGCACAGTGATCCATGATGTGTTTGGAAGCCTACATTAAATAGACATTCAGCAGCAAAATGTCCTGCAGAGACTCATCTCAGCCCTTGGAGAACTGAAAGGATGACCTGCTAAGTCTTTGCTGTCTGTACTTGCCTCAGCTCTGGTTGGGGGTTCTGGGTGCATCCTGCTTCCCTTTTACAGATTCTGTACTTTATGTTAAATCATGTGCATATTTTAGAAGTTCTTGGAGCCTAGCAGATGGATGGATCTTTTCTCTTACCCTAAACTACTCAGCTTCTCAAAAAAATTATGGCCTACACAGTGCCCTCAGATTGGCATTAAGCACTGTGCCTCTGTGCTGAAGAACAGTTAGAGTTATTCCAGATTCAACAGTAACCTACAGGGAACAACTTAGGTGTGCTAATACAGGGGTATGTCTTTCCAGGGTGGGAGAACCATGGGTCAGAACCCACTCCGAAGTTAAATTCCTTCCTTGGGAAATGCAGAGCCTGCAGGGAGAGAAGGTGCCCTTGGAAACCGTGAGAATGCAGAGACAATTCAAAGCAAGCTTCCCGTCAACCATGTTCTGCACAGTCAGGTCAGGAAAGCACAACTCAGAAGTAGGTCACATGTAGCAGAAGTGTCTTCCTTTTTGGTCAAAGGGTAGAAAAATATACACACATAATTCTTTGCAGCAGAAGATAAGATGGCCACTTTTTTCATCCTCAGGCTCAGCTACAAAACCACCTGCTTCAGCTTATAATGGCTCTTTTTCCTTTAAAACTTCCTGTAAGAGTATGAACCACCAAACATTGCTAAAGAGGATAAAGTAACCTGCTAATCAGCCCCACCACAAATTCACACACTTCAAACTCAGAGAGGTACTCGTGGCTATTCAAATACCATAGGCATTGCCTGAGCCAGATTCCTGGGTTGTTTGCCCAGTTTCAGAAATCATTCTATTGTTTCCATGCTCTAGAACTTGTCACATTACAATAATTAACAGAACACATGTCCTCTTATCTCTGGTGGCCCAGGAGCATTCCGAGAGAAGAGAGCTGTCTGCTCACTGCAGTGCCGGGGGCACTGTGGACAGCACCGTGCTATTTAAATTTAATTGTATTGATCTCTAAAGAGTTCTTTTTGTGAGAGAAGGATGTTGAGTATGTCAACTCCCCAGATGGATTGAAATTTCCTTTAAGGTAGGCTTCATTAACCCTTTCTTTTAAACTCTCATTTTGTAACTCTTCTGGCTTAAACTCTTTTCAATGTCTTCCCATGACTCCTGACATAGAATGCTATCCCTTGTTGAACACAGCAGGCCTGTGGGATCTGAACCCTGCTGATTGCTTCCATTTCATCCTTTGTCACTGCACCCCCAAACCCTCTCCATGTGCCCTAGATATACTGGCCTCTTTTTAGTTCTTTGAATGAGTCAAGGTCATGACTATTGACCTTGTGATTCTTTCTGCCTGAAAATCTTTGTCTTCTCACCTTAAATATCATCTCCTTGAAGAAAGGTACCTACACTACTCATCTGCAGGCAGCACCTCTGCTCTTTTTTATTCTCCCAAAGTGTCTGTCTTTTTCTTAAGAGCATGGATCGTAATTTGTGCTTATATAGCTCTTTGATCACTACACCTTCACTCTGCCTTTCACACCAAATTACAGAAGGGAAAGGACAATTTCTGTTTGATTCAACCACATTACCTAGTATGAGTCCTGGCTCTGGTGAAGGTTTAACAAATATTTGTGAATGAAGGAGTGAAGGAGATATCTGTGTGACTGAAGAAATTAGTACATCTTCCAAAGCACAAGTATAGTTGATACATGTTGAGGCTTAATAAAGAATGTCCTTTTTCAGTCCTAAAAGAACCTCTTGGAACCCTACCACCTTGATTGTCACAAAATAACAAACAAGCAAATAAACAACAACTCCATCACTACCATCTGGTAGTCAACAGAGTACAGACACCTGCAAAATCAGCAAGCACATTTAATAAATTCACCCCTAAGTTACAGCAGCGGCTACACACAAAAAGGCAGGAGCAGCACTATTTACAAGAGCCAAAGGTGGAAACAACCCAAGTGCACTGAATGAATGGATAAATGAATGGTTTATCCATACAATGGAATAGTATTCAGTTATAAAAAGGAATGAAGTGCTGATATATTTTACAATGTGCATGAACCTCCAAAATATTCTATTATTGGAAAGATGATAGACACAAAGTTTTACATATATATATACACACACATATATATATATATGATTTTATTTTTATGAAAAATCCTGAATAACAAATTTATATAGACTGATAGCAGATTAGTGTTTGCCAGGAACTAGGGGAAGGTACAATGGAGAGTGTCTGCCTAATGGGCATAGAATTTCCTTTGGGTGATAAAAATATGCTTGATCATTGCACTACACAGTGAATGTACTTAATGCCACTGAATTATAGACATTAAAGTGGTTAGAATGGTAACTTTTATGTTTTGTACAACAATAAAATAGGGGGAAGCAATGGAAAATTTTCTAATATATTATTTGTTTAAATTCTCTAAATGTAACCTCCAGGTTAGGTACCAGGTAACAAAGTTAGTCATCTATTGCTTTTAGTTATAAGAAAGATATGCTTTAAAACAAGAAACTTCTTAGCTCTGCCTGGGTAGCTCAGTTTGTTAGAGGACCACCTGATACGTCAGGGTTGCCAGTTCAGTCCCTGGTCAGGATACAAATAAGAATCAACCAATGACTGCATAATATATGTGGAACAACAAAATTGGTATTTCTCTCTCTCCTCTCTCTCTCTTTCTCCTTCCCTTCCTCTCTCTCTAAAATCAATCAATCAATCAATAATTTAAAAAATAAACTCCTTTAAAAATATTGGATTTTCAGAGGCCCAGAGGCAGAAGAAAAAGGCACAATTGCCTTGCATTTAGAAAACATTCTAGACTAGAGGCTTGGTGAACCCAAACTTCTAAAGAACTCTGTATAACAAGGTTTCACAAATGTACATACACATCTTCTGGTATACATGGTTATCTTAGGTGATGCACAAAGTTTCTTTTCTTTTCTTTTTTACTTTGAAGAAGTCCAATTTATCAGTTGTTTTTCTTTTATGGACCATACTTTCAATGTCCTATTTAAGAAATCTTTGTGTAACTCAAGGTCATGGGAGTTTTTGAAATTATTTTAAGATTTTATTTATTTATTTTTAAAGAGATGGGAAGGGAGAGAAACAGAGAAGGGGAGAAACATCAGTGTGTGAGAGATACATATTCACCGGTTGCCTCTCCCACACCCCCAGTGGGGGACCTGACCTGCAACCCAGGCAAGTGCCCTGACTGGAAATTGAACCAGCAACCCTTTGGTTCACATGACAGCACTTTTGTTTAGGATTATCTTTGATTAATAACCAATAATATTAGTTTTCATCGATGACAGTGTCACAATGTTTCCTTTTGTGGTTGTTGTTGTTGGCTTATTTTTAACTGATCTGATCCATTCATCTGCAATACAATGTACTCTTTTGGTAGGTACAGCCCTGTCACCACCACCGTCAGAGCTCAGAACACTTTCCCTGCCCGGCAAACCTCTCCCTGCTGCTCCTCTGTGGTCCAGGCCTCCACACACCAGGGCTCAGCAACAAAATGGGAGAAATAGAGACACATACAAAAACAAGGATGGATCTCTGATGCACCAGGCTATGTTAATTAAGGACGGCTGGTGCAGAAATGCAGGCGGCTGCAAATGGACACAAGACTTGTGTCTGGGGTGATGAAAATATTCCAAAATTGGATGGTGGTGATGGTTGCACAACTCTGTAAATATACCAAAAAAAAACTGAATTGTAAAGCTAAAATTGGTGAGTTTTATGGTATGCAAATTATATTTCCACAAAGCCATTTATAAAATGGTTACATAGTGTATGATTACACACACACACACACACACACACACACAGTGTCCGTTTAAATAAGTTAACAGGAGAGGATGTCTATAGACGAGGTGAACTTTACAGAGCTGGGATAGCAAGGTCAGGTTTAGATACTCCTTTGTGGGCAGGACAGCTGGATAGGGGTATGCCCCACTGTCACTGCTGGAATCTTGGGGGCCCTACCTCACCCCTCCCACTCCCACCCTGAGACTGGAGCCCACTTACTGTGGCGGTGCCGGAGACGGTCTGCGCACTGGTGTCCGCTGCGCTCTGCTCCGAGTGAGACTGGGCGGGAGGGTACAGGTTTAACGTGTGCTCGGGGACAGTGCTCTGGCCGGTGTACTCTGGCGCCGGGTGGGGGTGAGGGGCTGTGTATTCCGCGGGGATGCCGTTCTGAGGGGGAGCGAACTGAGCCGAAGCATAAGGCTGAGCCATTGTGTCAGGGGCAGCTGCTGCTTCCTGATTACCCTGAAAAATCACAAAGGTGGAGAGAAGGGAAAAACCGTGAGTGGCCGCCCAGCAGAACCTCTCCCCAGGGCCCACTTTGTGGGTGTCTGAACTTGCTGAGGATCTGAGATGGACGCATCCCAGTTAATCTTCACTAGATGCTCTAAGGAAGTAGTAACCATCATTTCTATAACCCCATTGTACAGATGCAGAAATCAAGGCTGGGAAAAGGTAAGTCTCTTTCCTCAAGTCATCCAGCCCAACAGCCAAAAACTGTGAGGGTCTGTGTTCTACTGAATTGGATTTTTCTGGCAGATTTTCCTTATTTCATTCGTATTTGAGGACGTGTGAGCATGTATTTGTTTCCAGTGACAGCAGAGCCTTGGTTTGATACTTAAAATGCCAAGAAAGATTAAATTGAACATGTTTGTTCTTGAGTAGAGAGACAATTTATCTAAGCATTTGAATTTAATGAAAGTTTTATGTGTCTTGGCTCACATAATGGGAGGGGGGGTCTCTTTAATGACCAGAAGAGAGAGAGAGAGAGAGAGAGAGAGAGAGAGAGAGAGAGAAGACAGAGGATGTTCCTAGAGCTAATATGAAGCAGCCGATGAAAATTCAGGGCCTAATTTGGACAAAGATGGCACTCGGTGATATCCTCAATTTAAGTATCTTTGCAAAGTGCTGGACTTAACTCAGTCTCATTAGTCAATGCTTCCCCCCCCCCCCACCTCCTGCCTTATTTGTTATAAGCATGGAGTATTATATAACAATTCACCCTTCAGATCTAGGCAAAACATGCAGTGTGATAATTACAGCCAAGTCAAAAGAATTTTTAAAAAAATCCCTGAATTCAAATGCTTCCATTTCAGGAAACATCTATCTCTCTCCACCTCCACCCTCACTACCACCCCCACAACTTACTACCCTATACACACACACACACAGCAACAGCAGCAGCAGAAACCGCAATCCACAGGTCTGAATTTTTCATGGTCTCAAGAGATGGGATTGCACGGTCACAAAGAGACAGGAAAGAAAAGAACCTTAGCAATTAAGCACACCAAAGAGCTGCCTCTCCCATTGTCTGTGGTCAATTCCATGTGACTTCAGTCCCCACGTAATGGTAGCAGGGCAGAAATGTCAGAATTGCTCACATCTTCTCCATCCTTGTCACTAATATTCAAGAACCTCTTCGGTTAAAGCAACTTGGGTGTAGCCGAAACATTATGACATAGAGGGTAAAAAGGAGTTTATTCTCAGAGCAGCACACAGAGCTGGTTCATTTGTTTAGAGAGGACCTTAATTAGAATGTTAAATATGACACGTTGGTGAGAACTAAGCTTAGGCTAAGTTTAAAACATTTTACAAGTGAAAACATTCCCATCAGGCCCTGTCCTCCCCCATAGTAATTTCTCCAAATGTCTGTGCCATGGAAGCAGAAATGCACAGCCCTTTCTTTCTTTCTAACACATTTTCACAACATTTGGGGCTGAGCAGAGCCTGTCTGTGCTGTGGTTGGATCACTGAACGTGGAAAGTTAACCCTGTCCATCCCTAGCAAACCCGAGGACATTTATTGTCATTGCCACTCAGTTTTCACTTTTCTTCAAGAAAAATGTTTGGTTTTCTTCTGTGGGGACATGTCCATTCTCAGTCTAGTGCAGATGTAGCTAAGCCCCACCTCCTATGACCATAGCTACAGTCACATTATCTAACCTGACTAATCAAAGCGTTCCACTCACACAGTCATGGGGATTGTGGGTTCATGCACGTCTGTCTAAACCAGTTAGTGAGTTAAGCCCTAGTGACTCTAGTGAGGCTTAATACTGACGCTTTGCTGGAGTTTGGGAAGGAAGTTCTCCTTCAAAGGTCATTGGCGGCTGTAAAAATAATGTCAGCCTGGAGTAGCCAGGAACTGTCCCTTGAAGAGGGCCTGCTTAAAACCAAAGTCAACTCAGAGGCAAACGGAGCCCAGAAACAGAGAAACAGATCAACTGCATCCCAGTGACATTATCTGAAGTCTTGGGTCCAGCTTTACCTGCAGTCAGTAATGCTATTGTTTGTTTTAGTCACATGAATCAGCAATGTCTTATTTTATTTAAGCTAATTTTTCTGTTATTTATAACCAAAGGGGTATTGATTGATTTAAAAAATCCTCTGCTGTTTCTGAGACAACTAACATCCTTTTCTTCTACAGGGCTGTGCATATATATCCTTGTATACAAAAATTCCATATGGATGCTACTTCTGAGAAGCCTCAGAAACTTTAGGACCTGAGAACACTCCAAAGATAAATTCATTGTGACAGATTCTAATTCTGCTTCAAAGTCTGTTTCAACCTGCCTTTTCTTCCCCAGGCTCATCTCTGAATTGAAAGAAAGACCTATGGGAACTCCAGGTGTGGTCTCATAGGGGAGCATAACATGGTCACAGGAGCTATGGTAGAGAGAGATAGTCCCTAAAGACAAAGATTTCTCCCCTCTGCCTTCAGCAACAAACACTTTCAAGGGAATACTGATCACATGGCCTTTCCTTACTGCAGAGCAATCTTAGGAAGAGTGGTTCAGTCCCACAAGCTCCAGCAAAACTACAAGGGTTCTCTGCTAGGATCTGAGCTCTCTCGGTTTGGGAGAAAGAAGGGTCTGCCCTCAGGAAGCCTATGGTCCCTCTGTCCTCCTGACACCATCAAGTCTTCCCATTCATTGCCCCCTCTGCTTGAAAAGTCCTCTACTCCCTTGCTTGGCTAGTCTCTACTTCTCTTTCATATCCCAGATCAAGAGCTCTCTCTTCTAGCAAGCCTTCATTGACACTTAAACCAAACCAGTTGCCCGCTTTCTCTACCTCACTGCAGCCTGTGGCCATACCACACATAATTTCACGTGTTACCACTGCCTGCTTATTTGTCTGTGAGCATCCAAAGGGCAGAAGACTATTCCATTCTCCACTCCATCTCCACTCTATAGAAGCATGCTAGCTGCAAAGTAGGCATTTACAAAAGTTTGCTAAGTGAATGCATGCTTGAGTAATGAGCTATGGGCTCTGCAAAGCTTAATTTGGCAACAGGAGATAGTTGGGGATAGAGAAGGTGAAAAGTTAGCAAATGACTCATGGGAGAAATCTGGCCCATTACTTGTTTTTATAAATAAAGTTTTATTGGGACATAGCCACATTCACTGTGCTATGATAGAAGAGGGGAATACTTTGGACAGTCATGCTATGGCCCCAAAAGCCTAAACTATTTAACTCTCTGGCCCTTTGCAAAAAAATGTTTTGCATACTCTCTGTGGCAGAGTATCACTAAATATGCTGATGCCAAGTTTGGAGCCATGCTTATAGAAATAGGGCAGAAAATAAATCTGGCAATAAAGCATGGAGAGAAAGGGGTACATTCTCTCTGAACAATGGAGGGTGGCTCACCTAGACTTTGCATCATCCATGTTGAGGATGGTGCAAAGGGGTGAATGGGGATCTTTTTCAGAATTTTGTATCCATCACAGTCTCTCTAAAGTGTAGACACACATGCCCACATGCAGGCTTGAAACTCAGCACCAGTAGGCTCAGGACAGGGAAGATGCATGATGGCCTCAGGCTTCTGTGCTCCATCCAAAAGGCATGCCCTTCACTTCACCAGTGTGGTCAGAAAACAAACTGAGTGGTGCCTCCCTTCAGGCCTAGTGGACACCAGACACTGTGTTGGGTGCTTTGCATCGGTTCTTAAACAGAGGTCACTGTTCCTCAGGGGACAGTGGCAATGATTGGAGAGGTTTTTGGTTGTCACAGCTTGGGAGGAGGGTTGGTACTAATGTCTAGAGTGTGGAGACCAGGGATGTTGCTAACACCCTACAATGCACAGGAAAGCCCAATCACCAAGGATTATTCAGTTCTAAGTGTTAATTGTGCAGAGGTCTAGAATCCTTGCCCAGCATGCATTCCATCCAACACCACTTTATCGTTAATTATACTGCAGCCTACAGCTGGTAAATGATTTTGCAAGGTCAAAGCCACAGAGGAAGCCAGGAACTGAACCAAGGCTCATGTTATCCTGTGTCCATTTGGCAGGATTATCACGTGGTAGGAGGTTCATTCCCATTTTTAAGTAAACAAAACTCTCTCTGTCACATGTACATCATGGCCTCAAGACCTGTTTCCACCTAGGGGGGAAGTCAGGTGCTGGGGTATTTAATTCAAAGATGCCAGCATTCAATTAGCCAAATTAAGGTGTTTACTCTAGCCAGTGTTAGAACTCTAGCCTGAATAACTTCTGCCATCTCAAGCCCAAGGCCTTGCTTTAGAACAGGGGTATCAAATTCATTTTTACCAGGGGCCACATCAGCTTTGTGGTTGCCTTCAAAGGGCCGAATATAATTTTAGGACTGTATAAATGTAACTATTCCTTAACTGTTAAGCAAGAGCTTGGTGCTGCCACCAGGTAGAAACAAGGTGCTGGGCCAGATAAAACAAGGTGGGGGGCCAGGTTTGTCCCATGGGCCTTGTGTTTGTCACCTGTGCTTTAGAAGCTCTGAGGCCATCCTAAGAAAAGCAAGGGTCAGCTGGTGGCACCACCAGAACCAAGGACAAAGCACCAACCTCTACCAAACCTTGTGGCATTCTGGTAAATGCAGGGCACTGAGCTCTAGGAACTCTATCTGTGGTCATCAAGGAACCTACAGGTACATTCAGGTCAACAAGGCCCTGGAATGCACGCCTGTTCCTGGAGTTCTCAAACAGATGTTGGCGGGACCCCCCACAGTTCCTTATTAACACCAACAGCAGTTCTAGAGAGACCCTAATTAATATTCCCAACATTTGCACTTTGGGCTAATTGCAGCTAATATTTAATTAAGATCATTGTACTTCCCATGGAAATATTTTTCACCTTCAAATGGCTTCAGAGATACCTTTGTTTCTTCCCTAGTGATGTTCTTGGATTCTTAGTATAGCTCAAATATATTTTCTGGAAAAATACATTCACATTAAGGCACCTTTTCCTCTCTAGGTCAAGGCATATCTTGGGCACAT